GACAGAGTGAGACTCCAACTCAAAAAAAAAAGAAAAAAAGAATAGCCAAAAAAAAAAAAAGCAGGAGGTATCACACTCCCAGACTTTAAACTTTATTGTAAGGCTACAATAATCAAAACACCCTGGCACTGGTATAAGAACAGGCATATAGACCAATGGAATAGAAATGAGATTCCAGAAGCAAAGCCTCAATTTCTCAACCAACTCATCTTCGACAGAGCCTCCACCATTCACTACTGGGAGAGGAGACCCTATTCAGTAAATGATGCTGGGAAAACTGGCTGACCACATGCAGAGGATTGAAACAGGACCCCTGCTTATCCCCATACACAAAACCCTAATGTAAAACCTAAATGTAAAATCTCAAACTATAAGAACCTTATGGAAGTTGGAACTGGCAACCAATTTCTGATCAAAACCTGAAGAGCCCAGGCCATGAGAGATAAGATACACAAGTGGGACTTAATTAAACTGACAATTTCTGCAAGACCAAAGAAACCACCAAGAGAGCAGGGAGACAGCCCACAGACTGGGAAAAAGTATTTGCCAACTCCATGTCTGACAAAGGCCTAATATCAAGGATCTACTGGGAACTCAAACGTGCTGAAAAAAAAAAACCATTACAAAGTGGACAAAACATATTAATAGACACTTCTCAAAAGAAGACATACAAGCAGCCAATAAATACTTGAAAAAATGTTCAGCCTCACTAGTCATCAAGGAGATGCAAATTAAAACTACACTGAGATACCACCTAACTCCAGTCAGAATGGCCATCATCAATAACTCAAAAAATAACAGATGCTGGAGAGGATGTGGTGAAAAGGGAACACGTCTACATTGTTGGTGGGAATGTAAACTAGTACAGTTTCCGTGGAAATCAGTGTGGCGATTCCTAAAAGTTCTAAAAACCAACCTTCCATATGATCCCGCAATCCCCCTACTGGTAATATACCTGGAAGAACTCAAATCACTCAAAGATATCTGCACACGTATGTTTATCACAGCATTGTTCACAATAGCAAGAACATGGAACCAATCGTGCTTCCCATCAAAAGAAGACTGAATAAAAAATGTGGTACATGTACACAGTGGAATATTACACAACCATAAAAAAGAACAAAATCATGAATTTCGCAGCAACCTGGATGGAATAGAGTTTATAATACTGAATGATCTCTCACAGAAACAAAGAGCTGAGTATCACATGTTCTCACTCATAAGTGGACGTTGAACAACTATCATAATACTATAAGTAAAGAATTGACAGTAGCGGGAAACTGCGTGGGGGCAGGGGGAGCAGGGAGGTGGGATTGACTGTAGTGGGAATCTGCCTGGGGAAGGGGGGCACACCTCATCAACAAGGGTGCTTTCACAATGAATATTTGTATACCTAACCCTGAATTGTACCCCACAATTTTAAAATAAAAATTAAAAGAGAGGGAAAAAAAAGAATTGGAATGTGGATAATTGTACCAACCTCTCCAAGACATTATGAGGACACAGTGAGCCTGCAGAGAGGATAGACCTCAGTAATCGATGGAGTTGTTTTCCCACACCTCGCTTATCCTAGGCAATCTTGTCTTTCTTGAGTCCTCAGTCTCGCCATCTGTGAATGGTGATGATCACAGCTTCCCCTTGTGGTTCTGTGAGGCCTGGAAGGAATGTACCCAGACCCCAGTGGTGGTGTTAGGGTTATTACTGGTGTCAGCACAATGGTTAGTAGAGCACAGCCCAGAACCCAACTGCCCAGGCCACTGCCAAGCTCTGCCACCTCCCAGCGCTGTGACATCAGACAAGGCACTCCACCATTGCAAGCCTCAGTGTCCTTGCCTGTTGATGACAACCTGACCTCACAGAGCAGGGGTAGGGACTTGAATGAGTGAAATCATTAAAATTCTGAGAGCAACACCTGACGCCCAGTAGATGGTCAGTCCATGAGAGCTGTGCTGTGCTGAGGCCATGTGACCCCGGACAGGGTAGTTTTTCTTTCCAGGCCTCAGGTATAAATGAGTTTGATGTGGGGCAGGTTGTTCTCAACCTTGATGGCTCTTTAGAATCATCTGGGAATCTTCTAATAAAACATGGCCAATCCAAGGTCTACTGCAGAAATGCCATGGGCCTGGACTGACATGGGCCTGGACATCTGAAGTTCTTAATGACCCTCGAAGATGCTAAGACACAGCCTCCTGTCAAAAGTGGTCCCCATGGTGTTGGAGCTTTGAGGACAGCCTTTCTGGGTGTGGGTGCTTCAGAACAGCGTGAGCTGAGAACATCTCAAGAGGCCCCAGTGGTCTGGCCAGGACCCTTCCATGGAGCAGTCTCAGGGCCTGAGGAGAGCGACCAGACAGAGCCCTGCTTAGATCCAGCCTTGGTACTGGGGAGCCTTCACATCCTGAAACATGTCTGTGTGTACACAGGCATTGAAATATCTGCAAATTCTCATTCCTTTGTCCCGAAACCCTCCCTGCCTAGATGTCACTGAGGACTCTGTTCCGTTCTCCTTCCAAAATGCCTCCAGCACTTATAAATAGCTCCTCTGGAGATGCTATAATTTGGTCTGTGTTTTGGAATCCAGCTCCCCAAACTCATGTCCTGAGGGGATTGCTGAGAAAAGGAAGAGAGGGTCAGCATTTGGTGGTTTCTCCTCCTTTTATCATTTTGGTTTGTCAAGGCAGCAGCAGGGGTGGGGCTTGAGACTTTTCCTGGAGTTTCCCTGTGTTTTGCTCTGCCTTCTTACAGTCTAGAGAGTCAGTGTGTAGTAGCAGGACCAGTAATGACCAAATCCTCTGCTGGTAGTCGTGGGTTATGTATGGAAACCTACTATGTGCCAGGCTCTGTGTTTGCATTTCTCCTCCCTCATCTTACCAGGGTGGAGTGTTTATCCACTTAAGTCCCTTGGCCAGCCAAGCTTCTCTCTGAGCCTTGTTGTATTAAGGGGCTCATATGGGGACCCCCTCATGGGGATGGACTGGACATCCAGAGCTGAGGGGCACAGAGGGAGCAGCCAGCACAGGCTCCCAAGAAGCCCTCAATGAAAATTCGCCCCGCTAGAGACATTCTTATGGCTAGTGTCATGATGTCTTGAATTCTTCAGGCGCCACCTTCCTGACTGTGCCCTCAAAACGTTATCTAGATGTTAGGGAGCAAGTTAATATCAACAATTCAAGTATATGTGTTGCATGACTGCCATCGAAGGTGCAGGGTAATCATGAGCAGTTTGGAGACCCTCTGGATCCCGTCTACTGGGAGAAATGGCCCCGTTGCTTTGACACTCCCATCTGGGGGCTCTCTGGACCCAGGAAGTGCTTCTGCCTGCTTAGATGGCCTGCATCTGTGGCTCTTACAATTAATTAACAATTAAGAAATCGACCACTGTGGCTTTCTCAGCACTTGGGAATCTCTGTTTTCACTCCAAAAGAAGACTCTCGTTAGAGAAAAACTTCCCTTCTGTTCAAATTTAGCACTTGGCACATATTAGATCCTTCTGAAATATTTGTGGAAAGAATGAGAAACATGGAGGAAACTCATAAGTACCCGAGGGAGAGCTCTGGGCGTGAACATAGTCCGGGAGAAAGACAGATCTGTGTTTGCTTAGTTTTCGGAAGCATCATCTGTGCTTGATCCAAAGTACAACTGCTTCCATCGCCTCATTTAGTCCTTGCTGCCCCCGGGAAGGAGGAAGACCACTGTCACATTTACAGATGAGGAGCTGGGTGTGTCAGGCCACACACCCCCCCCCCCCCCCACTGTGGGCAGGCCATCCTGGTCCAGCGGTCATGGTGGTGTCACTTTGCCTCTTGTCCCTGCACTGACTTCTATTCACACCCTCTCTGAGGATGGCAAGGTACCCAGGGGAGGTCAGCTAGGAATAATCAATACCAAGGGTGACACCGATCAGTAATTCTGATCAGTAATCCCACACTGGTGGAATCAGTCTGTGCAGAGAGGACTTTGAACTCAGACCTGGAGTTCCCTCAGGCCTTGTCCCACTCACTGTCTGACTTTGGGCTGGTCTGTCACTACTGAGAGCCTTTGTGTCCTGCTCTGTAAAGTGAGGATAAGGACACCACCACTGGTGTTATCAGAAAGGGTTCAAACTAATCATGAAGGTTCCTGACGATATTACACGCTTCTTGTTTGCGATGGTCATGGCAGTCATGTCTCCTTTCTGTCAACGCTCCTTTTGTAGCCAAACCCTCTGCCCCCGTGGTATTGGGCCCTGCGGTGAGGGCCACACCTCAGCACACAGTGACCTTCACCTGCGAGTCCCACGGCTTCTCCCCCCGGAACATTACCCTGAAGTGGTTCAAAAATGAGAATGCGCTCTCCGACGTCAAGACCAGCGTGAAGCCCGCAGAAAAAAGTGTCTCCTACAGCATCCACAGCACAGCCAGAGTGGTGCTGGCCCCTGGGGACGTCCACTCTCAGGTCATCTGCGAGGTGGCTCACGTCACCTTGCAGGGGGGCTGTCTTCGTGGGACTGCCAACTTGTCTGAGGCCATCCGAGGTAGAGGACACTGACCCCTGGCCCACCCTGTGCCAAGCCCCCCCCACCACACCTCCCCTATCTTTTTCTCCGGGGGTTGAGTTGACTGGAATGTAATTTCTAACTGTTCTGCCCACCTTCCATGCCCCTAGATGTGCCCGTTACCTACGATCATTTTAATGGCAGCTGCCAGGTGACCACTCACCATGTGCCAAGCACTGTGCTAGTAGCTTTGTTTATTGTATCTGCAGCAGTTATAGTTAGTGAGCACCTACTATTAGCCAAGGCCCTGTGTGCTTGGTGATTTCACTTATTTTGCTAAATTTATGACATTTCAACTGCATGCCACAGGTTGTACTTGTTGATTCCAGTCATTATTGTCCTGACAGGAGCTACCAGTCCTTGAGCACCTACTGTGTGCAGAGTCCCCTCAATGTCTGAATGCCTGCTGCATGCCTAGCACTGTCCAGTAGTGATGCCCTCGCCGTGGTGGTGGGAGCCACGCTATGGAGCCCTCCTCTGTGGTCTGTCTGTGCCGTCAGGTCAGAGCTTCTGCCCTGTGCTGTTTCAGTTCCGCCCACCCTGGAGGTTACCCAGCAGCCTGTGAGGGCCAAGAAACAGGTGAACGTCACCTGCCAGGTGAAGAAGTTCTACCCCCGCAGTCTCCAGCTGACCTGGTTGGAGAACGGAAACGTGTCCCGGACAGAAACAGCCTTGACCCTCACAGAGAACAAGGATGGCACCTACAACTGGACCAGCTGGCTCCTGGTCAACTCATCCACCCACAGGGATGATGTGGTGCTCACCTGCCAGGTGGAGCATGACGGGCAGCCAGCGGTCAGCAGCAGCCATGCCCTGGAGGTCTTGGCCCACCAGAGGGAGCCGGGCACAGAGGCCACCCCTGGTGAGGCCCCATTCAAGCTGGTCCACCTCTTGTACCAGTTTGTCACTCTGTTATCCTTTTTAAATGATAAAAGTAGTAATTCATGCTTGTCATAGAATAATCTAGAAATTTATTTGTGTCGTCGAATTTTAACATCAGCTCCGTTCTTCCAGACCCCACACTCCAAGAGTCGCCACTGGTAGAAGTCTGGTTCACATCATGATAGATCATTTGGCATAAATACATATATATATAAAAGGAGGAAAGAGAGAGGGAGGGATCATGTGTTCACAGCTCCCTGCCGCCCGCCTTCCTCCCTGGCAGTTGTGATGCCCCCGTTCTGATCAGCCCACCCCCTCCTCCTCACTGTGTCTATCCTCTGCCTTGTCTTTCTTCCACCCTAAACTTTTCCATCAGTATCTCTAACCTCCCCTGAGCAGACTATGCTGTGTGGAATTCCAAAAGAGACCAGGAGCTTAAGACTGGACCAGGCACCCAGGGGCCATGACCGGTCACAGTATGGGCCTCTTCTGTGTCCTGATTTGTGATAATTTACCGACAATAATCATAGTTGCTGTCCACACATTTACTACTTGCAAATTTCTGTTCATCTATGATGTCCTTTCCTGCTTCAGCCACCTTGTAAGTTTGGAGTTTCCCAGAAGTCCTCCGGCCCCTAATCGGTCTGCCTTCCTCTTCCACCTTGGAAGTCCTCTTGTGTCTGCTCCTCGTGGTATTTCTAGGGTTCATAGTTGTACTTAACAGAGAGGAGCAAGAAGAGGACAGTCTGCACCATCTGGACCAGGTCGTATTTGCTTCTTAGTCTTCCATCCACTGACTGGGGCTCGGACCAGGGCTGCCACTTGTGGGTGCTTTCAGTGCACATGACGTGGCATCTTTGCTCATGCACTAAGACTGGAAATGCATGTGGGTTTCCAACGTTGGCTGGCTGGAGCAAAATGCAAGATGCTTTATGTGACCCTACAAGGCATGACTGGGTCCAATGGGTCTTGCATGGGACTGCATGTCTTTCTTGTTCATTTTTATGGACCTGGGATATTTGACAATATTTCTAGCTCAACACACCTCTCTTTGTCAGGATAGCATAATCCAGGTATGTTAAGTGGGTTTTGGGTTTGTTTGTTTGTTTGTTTGTTTGTTGATAGTGGGAGAAAGGATTTGCATCCTCTGATTTGGGTTCTCTTTTGTCTTTCAGGGCTCTAAATTTCCTTCCTTGTCACCCTTTTTTTTCTTTTTCCTGAGACCACTCAGTTGCCAAAGAGCACTTCTTCCTTCTTTTTGCCGTAAGTTTTCTCCGGAAGTTATGCACTTTAAATCATGCTTATCTTTGAATGACTTCTTCCCTTTTAATATATCACTGCCCCCTTGTATTGGGTTTCTAATGGTGCTGTAACAAACAACCACAAATTTAATGACTTAAAACAAAGTAAAATTATATCTTATAGTTCTGAGAGGTCAGTCTAAAGTGGGTCAGCAGGTCTGCGTTCCTTGCGGAGGCTCTAGGAGAGAATCCCTTTCCTTGTCTTTTCCAGCATCTAGAAGCTGCTAGATTCCTTGGCCATTGGCCCTATCACCCTGGCCTCTGCATCCAATCTCATGTCTCCTTCTCTGACTCTCCTGCCTCCCTCTTCTCTAAGAACCCTTCTGATGACCTCAGGCCCACCTGGTAATCCAAGATAACCTTCCATCTCAGTGTCCTTCAATACTCGCGTTTGTAAAGTCCCTTTTGCCATGAGACATATTCACAGGTTCTGGGGATGCTGTTATCAACCATTTAAAGCAAGCACGTTTTGGAAACGCCACCTAGGCTGTGTGCTCTGATCTGCAGGACACTTCCTCAGTACTTTGAAATATTGCTGATGTTGTTTTCAAGTAACCCTGGCTTAGGATCCTGGTCAGCAGCCCTCTGTGTTTTCTTCACACGTCCTTGTGGCTGGGTGAGGGTATGGCAGCCTCCTGAGAGATTGTGCACTAGTTATTTTGCAGTGTGGCATTCTTTTCTCAAGTAATACTGAGAGCTGGTTTGTATGGAATTAACTTTGCCTCTTTTATTTCTCTTTTGGTTTTGGGAAGATATTTTTCGGTGATTGTCCCCAGCCACCCAGAGGTCGACTGAAGATCTTTGAGTGCTTTCACCCAAATGATTCCTTCCACATCTCAGGGTCCCACAGCTTTCCTTTAAGGGCCCCACCCCAGCTTCACAGCCTGTGGAACTTGAGATTCATCCTCCTCTGTGCTCTGCTACTCTTAAAATGGTGTTTCAATTGATGGCCCAGTCTTTGCCCTTTGGCTCCAGGAGATCAGAACCTACAGTGCTGCCAAGAAGTCCTATGGCTTTCACACTGACCTCAACTCATGACTTGACACTCTTTTTCTTATTATTCTTTCTTTTCTTTTTTTTTTTTTTTTTTT